GAAGGGAAAAGAGCCCATCTGCTCCTGGAGGCCGCCGGTGAGGTGGTCCACCTTCCTTGTGAAGCAGCCCAGGTCCTGCTGGAGCACGCCCAGCCGCATGAGGAGCACGTTCATCAGCTTGGCATCGCTGGGGCTCTCGCTGCCGCTGCCCACCGCCTCACCCAGCAGCGCCCCCGTGCACTCGTTGTCCAAGCAAGCCTTCAGCCCGGAGGTGAAGCCATTGGCATCCGAAATCAAGACGTCGATCGCTTTACTGACGAGCGCCGCCTGGTCCCGGATGCCCAGCAAGGTCTCCAGGTCCTTGGCCTTGAGCAGCCTGGTGGGACCATCGGGTGCCTTTCCACCACCGGGCACCCTGTCCTGCCCGTCAGCGTCGCTGCTGCCCATCCCGTCCCGCCAGCCGGCGGTGGGGATGCACTGTGCCGAGTCGCCGGCCTCGGCGTCGGTCTCCAGCATGGGCCGGGTGGTCTGGCAGGAGGCCAGGTCGCAGCGCTGGAGGTTGGAGAGCAGCACGCGGTTCTCGTACTGCAGCTTCTTCACCTTGCCGCTCAGCTCGCTGATCTGCACCTTGGCCGTGGCCAGCTCCTCCTGCGAGGGCTCGCTGATCACCGAGCAGCTGTCCTCCGACAGCGTCACGTCCAGCTCGTGGTCCGACTTGTACTTGGTCAGCTCGTTCAGGAGGAGCTTGTTCTGGTCCTCCAGCTCCAGCAGCGAGCGCCTCAGTAGGTCGGCCTCCTCCTCCACGAACTGCAGGTGCCGGCGCAGCTCTGCCACCGTGTCCCCTGCGTCCCCGCAGCCCGAAACGCCCGCCAGGAACCGTGAGTCCTGCCCCGGCAGCTCTCTGTCCCCCTGGCCCTTCATGTCGTCCATCTCTGCCCGCAGCCCACGGTTTTCTACCTCCAGCTCCACTATCCTCCGGCTGAGGATGTTGGCTTCCTCCTCCACCAGCTTGAGGTGGACCTTCAACTCGGCTTCCCGGGAATGGGGGGAGTCAGCCAGCTCCTCCACCGAGAGGGAGCTGTCGAGGTCGCCATACAGGGACCTGTATTTGAGCAGCTCCTCCTTCATGCCATCGTTCTCCTTGGCCAGCTTAGTCAGCTTCTTGCACATCAGGGCTGACTCCTCCTTGGCGAAATGCAGCTGGCACTTCAGATCTGCGCTGTCCTCCTGGGGACCGAGAGGGCGCAGGCATTAGAAAATCGCTGCCGGGGCCACGGTGGCTCCGAGCGAGCCCTGGGGACACATCGCCCTCCCACACGAGCGATCCCAGGGAAGCTGCAGCCCCTGCTCATGGAGGGAAAAAAACTTTGAAATCCATCCTGGAGGCTTTCAGGGAGAGCCTGGACACAGGGCAGGACGCCTGGATGAGGAGACCCCAGGAAGGACATCGAGCCACGGGGATGCAGGGACGGAGCCCAGCCCTGCCACAGCCCTATCCACCGCGGGGAGCAGGGGGAGGGAGAGCTGTCAGACTCCGCAGAGCGAAATAAAAGCCACCAACAAGGTTTCCTCCTGAAAGCTGGCAAGCCCTGAAGCAACCGGCGCTGCCGCAGCTGCAACCCCCCCGCTGGGGCTCTGCTCCTCCCGCTCAGCCCCAAACGCTCCACTGTGGGGCAGAGAAGCAGTGGTTTTGACTGGAAACCTCCTGAAGTCCCAGCCCTTGCCCAGCCACTGCCTAGCAAGGGGACAGAAAGCCCAAGCAAACCCCCCTGAGTCAGCTCGCTGGTCCCTTCCCAAACCCCTTTGCTTCTGGGGACCGTTTCTCCATGTGTTTTTTTTTGGTTTTGGGTGTTTTTTTTTTTGTTTTTAAATTTAGCCCTTAGGATCTCGGCTATCTGCCCAGGCAGACCGTTTCTCTGCTTTGGAAAGCTTTTTGGATACAGGACCAGGATTTCCTGACGTCCAACTCACGGCTTCCCGTGCTGTGGGGTCACTCGAGTGCTCCGAGCTCCGGCACGGTGACTGCCGGGAGGGGACCTGCTGGGCTGCGCCCCTCACCCTGCGGCACCCCTTGAAGCCCTGGGTGGGCGCTGGAGGTGACTGAACCCTTTGGCCGGGTGGCTGCTGGTCCCGGCGACCCTCTGCCTGCCTGAACTCATCCCCTTTCTTGTTTCCCTGGCTGGGAGAAACAAGCTGTCCCCCTCTTTGGGTGCTCCTGACCCCCCAGCCGTGCCCACGCTCACACCCCCCAAACCCCGCAGCAGCCATTTACCCTGCAGACTTCCCGAGCTGCTTGTATCAGGGGCAGGGATGGAGCGGGGGGGGAGGTCCCGTGAGTTCTGGGTGGCGTTTGATTCCCCAAACGCCCTGCTGGGACCACAGGAACCACCCCGTTTCTCTTCTGCACTCACGCACTCGCTAAGGCACATTAAAACTGTGCTCCCCCCTAATTAGCTGCGGAGATTAGGGGAGGGCCAGCGCGGGCAGCTCTCCCCGCCGGGGCAGACATGACCTCAGTTCCTGTTTTTCCAGAGGAAAAAAAAAAAAAAAGCAAAAATAAAGCAGAAGCCTATCGTGTCCCTCTGCCCCTTGGCATCGCTGGAGGGACGCACGCGTCCCCAAGACCACCTTGAGGGCTCCTGGGGTCCAGGACAGACCTCAGTGTTGAGTCTGTCCCCCCTCCAGCTCCATTTTCGGTGAGTGCTGATGCTCAGCCAGCGCAGCCAGGCGGGAAAGGGGCCCAGGAAGCCATCGATGAGTCACGAGCATCTGTGCCCATGGGGCCACCCGGCCATGGCTGCTCGGGAGAGGGAGCGCCGAGGGGGAGGCCACATCCAGGGGTTTTTGCACCCGAGGATGCTCGGGGTTTGCTTCCCAGCACCGGCTCCTTCCCGGAGTATCGGTCCCACCGCACAGCTGGGACTGATCCAGCCCCACATCCCCAGGCTGAGGGGTCTCGGTTCTGCGGGGGTGTGGGAAGCGGGGGGGGTTTCTGCAGCGCAGGACTGAGGTTTGTTTCCCGCCCTGGGGAAAAGGCAGAGGAGGGAGCTGTATTTCAGCCTTGGGAAGAGGGGTGATGGAGGGGCTCCTGGACAGCCCCCTCAGCTCAGGGCACAGCCGGTGTAGGGACAAAGCCACAAAGCTCTTTGGGGAAATGGGGGACAGGACTCTGGGACCATCAGCTGGCCTGAAAGGGCTCTCAAGGACGGAGTTAAAGGGAGAGATGATAAATAAAAGACCGAAGGGGAAAGTCTTTGAGGGCCTGGGGCTCCCCGACCTGCAGCTGCACAGAGCGGGCTCTGCCAGCAATGACACAGGTCACCCAGAAACCCTCAGGGTGCTCGGTGTCCCCTCAGCAGTGCATGGCAGGAGCGGCTTTACGGGGTCTCCCTCCTTGCCCTGGCTTTGGGGGAGCAGGTCTACTCCCCAAAATAAACCTTTCAGGTCTTTTGCCTTGGAAAGAGGATTTTTCCAGCATTAAAACACTTGCATTTCTATTCCTGCAACAGCAGCTCTGCCCCTCCGAGCCCCAGTAACAGCATTAGCGAGTCACAGCAGCTCAGTCCAACAGCAAGTGACAGCTGAAATCCCACCGCCGCTGCCCGCAAATCCCACTGCCCTGCGCTGCCCCAGCAGCCTGGCGTGGGGCAGGGACAGCTCGGCCTCCAGCCGTTCCCCACGGGGACCCTCAGCTCCCCCAAACCCCACAGGGGGCTCCGGGGCCGCCCTCCAGCCTGGCACAGGCAGGAGGGACCCGGGCTGCAAGAGCCACAAGCCAAGAGCACAAGCAGCTTTGTGACGTGAAAGCCAAAGTCCTTCAGCTCCTCACTGCAGTCCTGACACACGGAAAGGGTTAAAGCCACCGGCTGGCCACGGATGCTCCATTGATAAATGAGACAAGGGAGCGGTTGAGGACAATGAGGATGGCCCAGCACATCAATCCCTCCCTTATGCAGGGTGTCTGAAAGGCAGGAAAGCCCTGCAAGAGAGGGGATGGTGCTGCCATGCCCACATTGACTTCTGGGCCAGGCGTAGTCTCCGGCTGGCACCAGGACCTGGGGTGCGGATGGGCCACCGTGGCATGCCCCGGACATGCCGGCACCAATACCTGCACTGATGGTTTCTTCTCGGTCTTCCCGATGGAGCGAGACCCCCGTTTCTTCAGGGAATTCTGCAGAGAGAAGAGAGAGCTGTCACCCACAGCGATGGCACGGCACCCCGGCGCAGACAGACAGACGCAGCACAGATGGACATCGACGTTGACTTCTCCAGCTGCTTGTGAACCCCAGGAAAACACCAGAGCCTCAGTGCACTGAGGCCCTTTGCTCTTGGGAAGCTGAACTGGCAAGCATCATATCATGAGGTTTGGCCAGAAATTCCCCCTGCAGGCAAGCGAGCAGTGAGAGAGCAGGAGTGAGCAGGAAATGAGCCGTGGAGAGGCTGAGTCAGGTCCTGCCAGGGCTGGATGGAGCAGGGAAGCACACCCCCAGGCCAAGGGACGGCTCTGGCTCTCGGGGCATCCCAGGGCGGGAGCAGCAGACAATGAAGTTCCCCGTTGCCTCTTCCCCAAGCAAGGGACATGTCCCAGTCACTCAGCTATGGGGAGGGCTCCTCAGATGTTGACTCTGCCCTCTGGGGACACAAGGGATGATCTCCAGGCTACTGAGGACAGCTGGGAGACAGGGAGGCCAGACAGAGCAATAAGGGAGACTGGAAGAGGGGGAAAAAACGTGTTTCCAGAGCGGGGCCAGTTATGTGGGGAACAGGAGCTAGGGGAAAACCCTCAAGAACATCCACCCAGCTCCCCGTGTGTGCTGGCCGATCCATGTGGCTGCCCTAGACCTATTTCCAAGCTGGCGCTGAGGCCCAGCAGCCAAAGAAAGCAGCTGTGAAATGTAAGCTGCTGCCTGTGCCAAGGTGCCGGGCTCCAGGCTTTCCTATTAAGGCCACGACCATCGCTGGAGCTGCTGCTGCTGCTGCAGAGCCTCTCCCAGGGGCTGGCTGTGCCACGTCGGCATCCCTCGCCCCCACCGTGCTGGAGGCCGGGACTGGCCAAGGGCATCGCCCGGCCCTGAGCAGCCCCGAGGGCAGCACCCCAGGTCAGACGTGGGCTGTCATCGCTCCACCTTGGGCGCATCCCTCGGGGCGGCTGCGCCTCAGAGTTCCATCACAGCTGAGCTCAATGTTGGCACGGGGTATCTGGAGTGGTCCCACTTTTCTCCTGCCCCGCAGGAGATGTTGCGGAGGCGTAGAGCCGGAGGGGCAAACGCACGCGCCTTTGGGGATGATCTGCCCATCCTGACAATTATCCAATTATGGGAGAAACCTCTTGGAAGGGAGAAATAATCAGCCCTGAGGGGTGAGCCCAGCCCTGCGCAGCCTCCGCTCCACATTGGCTTGGCTGCTAACAAGCTCTGCCACGCTATGCGCCCTCCAGCAGCAGGGAGGAGGTGGAGGAGGGCTGTTAACTCACTCGTTTGTCTAATTAGCGCTCTGCAATCAGTGAGTAACCCCAATGCCCTTGCTAGCTGGGGGACACGCCATCCGGAGTTCAGGGGAGCTGCTCTGAGCTGTGCCAGGTCTCGTGCCAGCAGCAGCATCCCCTTTGGGCTGGTGCAGCTGCAGAGAGGGGCCCTATCCTGTCCCACGCTCTTTTGCCAGGGCAAGGCGGCAGCTGGCGCTCAGGCCTCCCTGCACACTGACCATGCAACCATTTTCTCTGCCTGTTTTTCAAGCGCGAGAGCGCTCTAGCCCGGCTCCCGCTGCTGCCATTTGTTATTCAGCCCGTGCTCGCCGGCTGCAGGGAAACCCATTTCACGCCTGTTAGCGCAGGCTGCGTGGTGGGAGGGAAAAGACACCCCATCTGGGGTGACGCTGCTCCATGCCACCCTGCAAGAAGGTGGCTGCAGAAGGGATGGGTGCGACCACCGCCGGGTCCTGCAGCTCACCAGGAGCTGGCCCCGGCGTTACCCGGAGCCGGCCCCAGAGATCCCAAGCCGTGTGCTGGCTCCCTGCCCTGCCACGCAGGGGAGCACGGCTGGGGGCAGAGAGAGCCCTCCCTGTGTCGTGTCCCCATCCTCGATGGGATCAGGGCCAGAGCTCCGCCACAGCGCATCTCCTCCCACGCACTGCCCTGATGGCTCAGCCAGCGATGCTTCCCGAGGCTCCCCGGGGACCGAAGGCATCCCGGGCAGTAGGGAAGTGGGTTACAAGTGCAGCGATGGATCACAAGCCCACGCTGTCACCGGGATGCCTCTCCTGTCACCGAGGATGACACCGCTCCTGGCTGGGAGCTGGTCCCAAACCCGGCATGGCATGGAGCACCCTGGACCCCTGCATACGGCTACCTGCACAGCACAAGGCTTCCCAGGACACAGATGGGACCATGCACCCCTCCACATCAACACCACCACTGGGACATTACTGGGACACCGCTGGGACATTGCTGGGATGCAGCCCCATGGCTCGGCACGGTTTGAACCGGCAACATGTGGTCAGGATACGGCCAGCACCGGGCACTGCGCCAGAGGCACGGCGGACTCCACACATCGCACAGAGCTTTGGCTGGTGGGAGCTGGGCACGGCCCAGGGCTGAACAAGTGGCCGAGGACACGTAAAGTGGCTCTAATGCAGGGGGAATGTCCCGTAGCACCCCCACCCCGGGATGGGGTAGAGCCACTCGGTGCCCGCAGGGTGGGATGAAGCACGCCTCGCCGAGGGCAAGCGCTGCTCGGGTTTCGTGAGCATCTGCAGCACGGTTTGGGTTTCAACGATGCGAGCAGGGATGGGGGATCCCGCAGGGCAAGGCCAGGACACCTGCTATGGGCAGAGCCTTGGGGACGCCTCCCTGTCCTCCCTCCCATGTCCCCCTCACCTCTCGGAGCTTGTCCATCTCGTTCTGCACCACCTGCTTGGCCAGCTCCGTTTCGATGAGCCGCTGGCGCAGGTCCTCGTTCTCCTCCTCCAGCCTGATCCTCTTCTTCTCCACCACCTCCAGCTCATTGTGGAGCCGCACGGAGACGTCCTTGGCCACCTGGTGACACAATGGGGCTATCACCAAGCTGGGTGCAGTGTACACGGGGCTGGGACCGTGGTGCCTGGGCACCTACAATCCTCATACAGCAATCATCAGGTTGTTACTACTGAGACCCTTTGGAGCAGACACCGTGCTGGATGACACCGTGGCCCCTGTGTGTGTCCCCTCCATCGAGTGCTGTGACCACTGTTCCCCCTTCACCAGCCGCAAGGCTGCCCCGCGTCCCCATCCCCTGACCAAACCCTGCCTTCTCCAGCCCTAACACGATGCTGCAGGATTCTCATTGCCTTTTTGTACCTTTTTCCTACACTGTGAGGCTGGAAAAGCCCCCATAAGGCTGGAAAAGCCAGCGGGTAGCATCAGAGCAGGCAGCCTCTGGCCGCAGGCAGCAGCTGTGCCGGTTGGGAGAAAGGCGAGCTGCTGCATCACGTTACGGAAAAAAACAGCAGCTGCCCCCCAGGGTGAAGGGTGCCTCCATCCATCCCGGGCATGGCCCCGGAGCCTCCCCCTCCAGATCACTGCAAGGGAGCAGCTCCTGGCATAAAGGGAGCTTAACAGCACGAAGCGTTCATTCCTGCATCTGTAGGAAGGGAAAAATTGTCCCCAACCCCCCATGTCCCCTGCCCAGCCCGGGGTCCCAGTCGCAAGCCCCACCGCAGGGATGGGGGGCTCTGGCTGTGGGGTTGTGCTCCCGCTCCCCCCAGGGATGGGCTGTGCTTGCTTTCCCAGAAGGGAAGAAGCTGGAGGGGGGAGTTTTTGGCACCAACATCCCAAGCCGGGGGCTGCTGGGTGGTCCGGGGAGGGAATGGGGCCCCCAGCAGGGATGGGCAGCCCAAGGCGGGTTCGCAGCCCCGCACTTGTGGCATGTCTTGGCTCCCGGAGAGGCTGTTTTCTGCTCAAAAATCTAAGTTGCTCCTTGAGCTGTTGCCCATCCAGCCCCTGAGCCATCTCCGGCTGCCACTGCACCTCCCTCCTGGCAGCCGCCGTGGAGGCAAGAGCCCTCAGCCA